TATCAATGTATTCTCGAATTCATCCTATATTGGGAGAAAAATATATTAGAATTAACATAAGTTAAGTGGTTTCATAACAATTCAAGACATAATTATATCAACTTTTTACCACTTAACAGAAACAAATTGGCTAAGTTGTTGGACAACAAAGAAAATGTCAGGCCTTGTATGTGTAAGATAGAGAAGTCTTCCAATAAGACGCCTATAAGGGGAATGGTCAAAAAACAATAATCCTTCATTAGGATGCTATTTTAATGAAGGGTCAGAGGGTGTGGATTCTGGTTTGCAACCAATTAATCTTGCTTTAGATAGTAGACAATATTTTCGTTGATTCAAAATATGTCCAGTGAGTGATCGAATAACTTTAAGACCCAAGAAATAGTGTAGAGGACCAAGATCTTTTATATGAAACTTGTTATGAAGGTGAGTTTTGACCATTTCGATTTCAGATATATTTTTTTCAGTAAGAACCACATCATCAACATAAACTAACAAAATTATGGTAGTAAATCCAAAGGCTTTAACAAACATAGAGTGGTTTGAAACACTTTGTGAGTATCCCAAAATAAGAAGCTTTGTAATAAGTCTATGATTCCAGTTTCTGTTTTCTTGTTTGAAACCATAAATTGATTTTTGAAGTTTGCAAACAGATTTAGGATGAGGAAGGCTAAGACCTGGGGGGGCCTTCATGTAAACCCCCATGGAGAAAAGCATTATCAACGTCTAATTAGTGTATAAACTAGTGATTAGTAATGGCTTGAGAAAACACAATTCCAACTGTAGTGAGCTTCACAACAAGTGAAAAAGTCTCAAAGTAGCTTATTCCTTTGATTTGTGAAACCCTTTTGCAACCAAACCAGCTTTAAACCTTTCGACCGAGCCATCGGTACTGTGTTTGATTCTGTAGACCCATCTGCAACCAATGACCTTCTTGTTAGGAGGAAGTGAAACTAATGTTCAGGTTTGGTTTCTATGAAGAGCATTTAATTCAGCAACCATAACTTCATTTTAACAATCACTTTGAGCAGCTTTTTTATAAGAAGATAGTTCATCTTGGGCAGAAATGTTTTGACAAAAAGAAATATGGTCAAAGGAACAATTGTTATAAGAAAGAAAATGATGTAGAGGATAAGGAGTAGAAAAAAGAGAGTCAAAAGTTGAAGCAGAACTACAATAATAGTTATCTAAGTATCTTGTTTGTTTCTAACATGAATATAAGACCTTGTATTAGGAGTTGCAATTTAAGTAGAGTCAGAAACAATAGCAGGAATAACTGTGTTCTATGCAGGATTTGTGGCATGCGAAACTAGTAAAGAAAAATAAAATAAATTGTTGCTGGAAGAAAAAAGATTAGTGGTAACATCAGAAGAAGAAGTATTTGATGAAATGAAAGAATAAAGAAAAATAGTTTCATGAAAAATCACGTTTCTAGACCTAATAATGGATTTTGATTGAATACCATGCAAGACATTCCATTTGGTTCCAAATTTAAATCCAAGAAAAAACATTTAAGACTTATAGAATCCAATTTGGTTTTGTTTGTTATAGAAGAACTAGCATATGATAAACAACCAAATACCTTGAGGTTTGAAAAACCAGGTTTAATGGAATGAACAAGTTCATAAGATGACTTATTTTGCAAAAAGGTGTAGGTAAATGATTAATAATATGCATAACAAGTTTAAGAGAGTAAGACCAGAAAATATTAGGTAATTGTGATTGGAAAAGAAGAACTTTACAAACATTTAAAATATGTTGATGCTTCCTTTCAACAATTCCATTTTGTTGAGCTACACAAGAAGTCTCATGAAAAATGTCTTATTATTACAAAAATCATTGAGAACAAACTATTTTCCATTGTTTGATCTTAATTTTTTTAGCTTGTAAGAAAATTGGTTTTCTATAAGAATGATGAAATTCTGAATAGAGGTTCAAACATTAGTTTTTTTTTTAGAAAAAAAAAAATCTAAGTGAAAAGTCTCAAATCATCAACTATAGTTAAAAAATATTTATATCCATCAAGAGAAATAACTGAAACAAGTCCCCAAATGTCCATGTGGATAAGTTCAAAGAAATGAGTAGATTTGGTGATGTTGGAATTGTATGATAGACATTTTTGTTTTGCAAATGTACATGTATCACAAGCAGTAACAGGAAATGAAGTAATAAATGAATTTTTTGAAGTAAGGATTTGCAAGATTTTATTAGATGGGTGACCAAGTTTCTTGTGCCATAAATTACAAGAATTGATATTGTTAACCAAGAGAGAACACTGTAAATTGCTATTTGTTTATGAAATATTCATATTGCAACCACTAGTAAGGTAAAGCAAGTCATGATGTTTTTTAGCTACTCAAATCATCTGAAAAGTGTTGATTTGTAGAATAGAACAATGATTTTGATATAAAATCATAAGGCAATTAGTTGAAGCAATAAGTTTTGGAATAGAAAGTAATGAAATAGTGAAATCAGGAACATAAAAAGGATTATGAAGAATAAGTTTGCCCAAGATAATAATAGTTCTTGAAAAATTGGCCTTGACAAAAAGTTTACTGGGTAAGTGTATAGAAATGGTAGAAATGGGTTTAAGGTTTCAGAAAAAAAAAAAAAAGAGAGAGAAAATGTGGTCAACGGCACCACTATCCAAAATTCAAGATGAAGAAGGAAGAAAAGAACCTGATGTTTGGACAGTGCATTAGTGAATGACAATGGGAGTAGAAGAGGCTTGTTGTGATTGTTGGATTAAAGTAAGAAGTGTTTCATATTGCTCTTTAGAAAGACCATGTTAAACATCAGTATGCTCATTTGTGATGACAGAAGTATCCTCAGTAACAATAGGAACAAAATCAACCATACTAACAGATGGTTTGGGAAGATTGGTTTTATTCTTGTTTTGGTGATAGTCCAGAGGTAGACCATGCTTTATCCAACAATTGTCAGATGTATGATTTGAATAGTGACAATTATCACAATACTTAGTATTATGCCCACTAAATTTACTTGATCTTCCTCGGCCACAAGAATTAGAAAAACCTCCACTGGTGTTTTATTTGAAGTTTCTTGAAAACTTGCATGGGCAATAGAATCATGAGAAGTGGGAAAAGGAGAACTAAACTCTCATTCTTGTTGAAGAACTAAAGAGAAGGCCTTAATCAAAGTTGACATGGGTTCCATAAGCATGAATTGAGATCTAACTTGCAAAAATTCCTCATTTATACCATGTAGGAACTTAATCACACAATCATTATCACATACGTTTTGAATCTTGATGATTAATCTACAAATGTAAGGCGAAATACATGTGCAAGCAAGAACAATATGATATAGAAAAATTTCTTTCCAAATAATCTAAAAACGAGTATGATACTATTAAACAGTAGATTCACCTTGTTTATAATTGTGAGGATCTTCTTGAAGATCAACTATGTGAAATTTGTCACCATGAGAATTATTTTTGAAGAAGATCATTCCAAATATCAGCTGCTGATTCCATCCACATGATTGATTGTTTGAAATTACTAGTCATGGAATGAGTGAGCCAAACAATCATCATCTTATTGCAGCACTTTCATGCTTCATGCAAAGGATGAATACATGGTGGGCAGGGGAGGGTACTAAGAACAAACATTTTTTTGTTTTTGGTTTCAAGCGCAACAAACACATCTCATTTTCACTGTTGATAATTATTGCCATCAAGGGTTTGAGAAATAAGAATGAGAGCAAGATTTTCTCGAAAAAAGAGAGGATTGATCGGATTTGTGAGATGATCCGAAAGAGAGATAACCATTGAAGAAGTAAGAGAAAAAAGAGAACAACAGAGCAAAATTGCTAAATTGATACCATATAAATGTATTGGAAAGAGAAGAAAGATAACTAAAAGAGATTCTTTAATAAAACCAATATACATGTTTATTAAAAAAATAAAAATACAAAAGAATAATTGGTATAACAGAAAATAGAAGAAGATATGTGGTATATTACTATCATCGACATGTTACTTAAAAAAATAACAAGTTAAAGTTTAGTTCTCATAATTTACAATTCAAGATCATCTTATTTATGAAAATAAATTCTAATATAAATATTTTATTTTATTTTATTGAAACTATTATATATGAACGATCAATTCATTAATTCAACCGATATATATATATATATATATATATATATATATATATATATATAATTAAGATTCAATTAAATATAATAAAATAATATTTTTATAATATAATAAATTTATTAATAATAATATTTTTATTTTAAAAAATAAAAATTACTATCAAAATTATCAAAATTATTAGTGAATAATAAGTAAAATAAGATAAAAATACAATAAATTATTATTTAAAATTAATATAATTATGAGATAAAAAAAATAAAAATATTATATTTACTATATATATATATTAAAAAAATAAAAATAAAAATAAAAAATTTTAATCTTTAATTCTTTTATTAAAATTGATTTAATCCAAAACGTTAATCAATTTTTGTAATTTTTCAATTTTATAGTAATTTAATTAAAATCTCGATATTTAAAAGTAATAAATTAGATTGAACTGTCATTCCAATCTGATTAAAATCCACTATACATATTCTTGATTTAAATCTATAAATACCCAAAAGAAACTTAGTCTGACACCTAAATTACATCCACCATTACACATATTCAGTACAGTTGAGAACTGAAATTGTGTCGTGGATTTGGGAAGAGTATATGTAAAGTCCAACTTAAACTTTTTGGTGAGAACCACACATTCATAATTGTCACTGTATATGTATTGCAGGCTTGTATAAAGACAGGCCATACCATATAATTTACCGAGCATCCTTGAAATGTAGTTGTCACCGACATATTACAAACACATTATATTCCAACACAAGTCATCGGTGTGGTTCACAAATCAACACACTGGAACGTTTTACATCTTATAATAAGGTAAGCTTTGTATTGGCCATCTTCATATTTAACTTTAAAACTTTATGTTATTAATAGTCTTCTATTCATTTGTAGGACGCAGCATCCAAGGTGGAAGAATGGCATTTGCTCGACTTGGAGTTGCTGTTCCTTCATTATCTCCTCCATCATCTCTTACTTGTGAGCACCCTCTGCATCAACCATCCTATTTATTTAGTATAACTTTTCTGTTCATATTGGAGCAAAGTTTATATCATTAAAAATATAACATCAGTTAAATGAACTGTTTTTGGAAATAATCTTATTGAATATGACAAAAATGGTTAAGATTTGAAGTTAGACATACAAACCTAATATTAGATGTCTCCAATGGTTGAGGTACAAGGACAGAGGAAGCTAGATCGATTTCATCACCTTGTCGCTCCATCTGTGTTTGTTGTGCTGCTAGTGCCTTCTCTTTCTCCTTTATCTAGTTTTCACTCAAATCAAAGTAGTCATATAAAGTGAGATTTAATACTCAAACTCCAAACTAATTACATTATTCAACAAGAGTTTTATTATAAGAAGTGAAAGATTGACGTTAATTACGTACCTTCTTAGCAAGAGTGTTGTTTTGTTCCTGTAGGGCCTTGTCCTGCAACATTTGAACTTTACAAAGTTGAATTCATCTCTGTTTTAACCTTTTTTACATTTTAAAATTAAACTAATATAGTCCCAAAACTATTTAAATGAAATTCACATCATCAACTCGCCCTTAATGGATAATAATAGTATCGTTCTTATGCAGACTCAACAAGCCCAAAACATGTATCATGTATGCTTTGGATGTAGGACATATGTAATTCATCAAGTACCAACCAGCACCCACACCAGAAAACATAGCACACATAACAACATCACCCAATTAATACATATTATGCTTTCCCAAAAACCCAACCAAATGTCTAGTTATCCAATAACTTTAATCCACTCCTATGTTGCCATTAGTAATTTTATGTTCTTTTTTAAGTTAAATTTATAAATATACAATCAGATATATTTAATAATTATTAAATTAAAAAAATTATAAATATTAATATAAGTTACAAAATTTTGAAGAAGTTATAAGTTAAAAATATCTAAAATCAGGCAATCCAAATATATTAAAATATCTAAATCTCTAAAAATAAAATAAAAAATGTGTAGTATTCTATGCATAACAGACACATAATTCTTCTAATTTTCCCTCAATTTGTATTCTACCTATTTCCTCAATTAAAAAGTTGAAATATTGATTTTTTTTATTAAAATCAACTTCTTCATTTTAACTCCCACGACCATTTCCTTTTGTCACGATTTTATATTCTGCATAACTTCATTTTTTGTATTGAATTACTATATGGGAATTTCATAGAGTTGTCTCCCCTATCCACCTATTTTCCTAGAATTTTATGCAACTCTCATCACCTATCTTCCATTTACGTATACTACAAAACCATGCCATCGAATTCCTCTCACCACATATTTTCTTTAAATCCTTCGACCATTTTGATTGATCACTCCTGAATTTGACTTCACATAACCATTTCCATCCTCATACCTAACCTCCATGATTTCATTCCAAATCATTCCTTTATGTTGGAATAAACTTCATCTCCATTTCATTATAAGAGTCCCATTAAATATAATCAAAATCTTGATTCCTAACTGTTCATGCTTCATGAGTGCACAACTTTTCCAACTTATCCAAATCATGTTCCTCCATTATATATATATATATATATATATATATATATATATATATATATATATATATATATATATATATATATATATATATATATAAACCAAGTATACTAAATCCACATAGACAACACTTTTTTTTTCCAACAACAAAGCTTCTTTTCAAAATTTTAATTATTGGTCCTGTAATTTTTTATTCTTTGGTTAGCTCAATAAGAATACCTAAATATGTTAATGGAATCTCTAATACCTTACAATTAAGCATCTATTCCATCCTCTCCACACTTATTATATTCACCCATAAAAATTGTTTTGTAGCGATTTCATCAACAGAGGTAGAACAACGGGTAACACAGCATGTTATGATCACTTTCAAAATTTTCATCCCTTTACAAATTTTTAAATATAAAAATATGTTAGTTTTTTTTTTTTACTTTTAATTTTTTTTCTGTTTCTTCCTTCGCCTTTGGTCTAAAGTATAATAAAATGATTATTTCATTCATAAATATGAGTAAAAATATGATTTTGGATATGATTAAACAAGTTTTTCGATAATAACGGATATGATAAAAAATAAATTAACTTCTTTATAAATTAAAACTAATTTACACGTAGATTAATTTGTATAACTTCTGCATTAATTTTTCTAAATCTTTATTTTGTAATATGTATACAAGTTAATTTTAACCTAGAAAAATTCTCTTTAAAAATCTTGGAAAAAGATAGTGGAAATAAGCCCTTTACCTTCTTGTGTAGGTCTAAGATGGTATAATCTCCACAAATTTGTGTGTTTCCCAAGACAAAAAGACTACTTTAACCAATAAAGTGAAGTGCCCTTTTCAAAGAAATTTTATTTTGATAATCATAATGTCATATCAACTTTTTAAGGTATATATATATATATATATATATATATATATATATATATATATATATATATATATATATATATATATATATATATATGTTATTTGATACACTCTCCCTCTCTCTACATATGTGTTTGTTTTTTAATTTTCCATAAAAATAATTGTAATATGATATACTCTTGTCTAAGTGACTATTAAATATGAAATAATTTATATCTACTATTAAAACTTTACACATTTTACAAATAAGTAATGATCTCAGAATACACTTCTATGAAGGTGTTTTTTGAGATTATATTCATGGACTTGATGAAATGTGTTATTTATTTTCTCATTTCTAAAGAATATAAGAGTATGTTTCTACCTGAAGTAGTAAGTGTATTTCACTCTAAGCGACAATAAGTTTTAGATTCTTAATGTTTCTGATCATATTACTATAAGCTATCTTTCATTTCTAACTTCTCACCTCAAAACAACTCACTATATAGACACCTTGTCGATGGTCCCAAAACAAATGTTAGTATTGATTAAATTTAATAAATTTTGTCTTATTTAGGTTGTTCCCTCAGTTTGACTTTAATCAGTTAACATATATGTTCTTTCAATTGTTAAAACCACTTAATTTGGAGTCTTTCTTCATAGATAATTAGAGAATGGGATAGATGCATGATTGAAGCAAGATCTTCATTGTCTTTATTATCTCCCACCTTCGTCATCATCTATATGATTTTTGGTGTTTCATAATCTTTTGGATCTGTCAAATATTGATAAATTGAATGCATGTGTTTCTTTGGTGTGGAATCATGTCAAGTGTGGGTAGTGAATACATTTACAAGCATGTTATAACCATGAATCAATAACTTCTTGAGAAAGAGAAGAAAATACTTTTATTAGTTCATTGAGAAATGGTTATTTTGCAGCATATACTTAACCGAAAGATGAAAACAACCAAACTCACCTTTTTATTAAGCTCTGAAATAGATTCATACATGAGTTGGTTCTGCAAAATTATATAATTAAATAGTCAGAAAGACTATGACATTCAGTTCAAACTACATAAACTGGATTGCAATGTTTTACCTTTCGTGATCTAATGTGTTTGAGAGCACTATCAAGCTGATGCTCCAAATTCTGAAGCTCTTTGATACTTAGACCATCCAAATCTTGTCCCATGAAATTCCTGCAAAACAATTCAGCAAACCCTACTGTTTTATACTTTAGTAATTACACAACACAAAACCCTTGGCTTCAACCATTTCAATACCTTTGATTTTTCTGTAGAACGTCCAACCTTGCTTTGAGCTTTGCATGTTCTAGAGTCCAATTTTCCTAAAATCATAATATAATAAGTTTGTGTTCTCTGATTCTTATAATTTTCTGTGTATCAACACCAAGTAGCAATAGATATATTTACTTTATCTCAAATAAAAGCAAAGATATACATGAACTTCAAAGGTTGAAAAACTTCTTTCGGGACAAAATTGTGTATATTGACAGAAAGCTATTCTTGAACAAAATTTAATTTAATTTATTTTAGAATATTATCAATTAAAAATAATCAAAAAAATAAGTTCATGTTATTATAAGATTAGATAGATAGCTTACAGTTTGTGGTTGATCACTTGCAACAAGCTGCCTCTCTGCGTATGAATACCTCTCATACCGTTCAAGAATTCTTTCCATACTGATGCCAAAGAAAAAGAAAAAAAGTGAGCAAAAATATTTTTAACAAACCCAAGATATTAACCCACATACAGAACCTCAGTTCAAAGAAAAATAATAGTGTTTGGATATCAATTTTTTAGAAGAATATTTATTTTTATAGAGAAATTGAAATATTTTAAAAAGAATATATATTGTTTATATATGAAATATTAAAAAAAATCAAATTTTTAAAAATTTATGAGAATAATTAATTTTTTTAAATTATAGAATTTCAATTTTTATGTTAAAAATAATTTCTTTTCATATTTTTGTGTTCCATCAAAATATTTGTATTTGGTTATGATTATCCAAACAAAATAGGATTTTTAATAAATAAATAAAGTGACGAAAGTTTCAAAGAATTTTTCAAACATCCTATCACGTGTATATACAGTAAATCTGAATTCCTACACAGTAGAATTTTTACGTTGAACAAAAGGAAACTAAATTGAATCTTAATTTGCAAGTTTGAAAAGTATAATCTTTTTAATTGGACATATATTTGCTTGTTTACGGTTTATAAATTAATTATTATAAAAATTAAAATATCATCATATATATGTTATCAATCAACTATACATTCTAATTAAATTGAAATAAATTATTAAGTGGGTTAGCATTATGATCTTAATGAAAGATTAACACTCCTCCATAACTTTTTATTATTATTTAGAACTTCAAAGCTCTACAGTCAACACTCACATTCCTAACATAACAATGGTTCTCAACTTTTTTCAGTTTTATTTTCCTACCTCTTCTGTTTTATAAGAAAGAAATAACACTCACACTCAACCTTAGTCTTACCATGTTCTAACCAGGAGTGTGGATCAAACCACATTTTTCAATACTTGTATTTATCCCATGGTGGGTTGGGAAACTTGGGTGTGGTTAACTTTATATATTTTTAATCAAAACAAAACAAAATAACATTATGAGATAGGACAATGAGTACTCCAACCTTATGTAAAAGGTCTTTATCAAGTTTATAGCTTACAAATCTGCTTTATGCGTTGCATTAAGTACAGGACAAGAGCAAGAATCAACATTTTTCAAAAGAAATCTATAAAAAAAATCTTGCTTTCGGAAGATCCAAAATTCTAACCAAGTTAGTAGAAACATATGCCTAAATATCATCTCATTATTTTGAAGTCATGTGCAGCAATTAGATAAAAACAATGAACCATCATCCCTTCCTTTTCCATCCTCTTTCCTCTCAACTTTGCACCATCTTTGAATTTGTGATTAAAGGTGAAATGGAGAGAAGGATAAATAATTTCACGTAATAATAGAAATAAGACATAATAGATAAAAATAGATCATAATCTATTCTATTTCATTGTCTAATTTAACTTTTCTTTTCTCCAAATTCAAGATGCACTTCATGAACAAATTTTTTAAACGACAAAATAATGAATATATTATCTTAATCATTAGTGTTTTAATTTTAAAAGAAAGATATGAAAATTAGAAAGTAATAACTCATTCTATTCTTTTCCAAACAATGAAATGGAATACTTTTTGTTATGAAATATACAAACAATCAAATGACATGCATTTCATTCTAATTCATGTCATTTCATAAACGACTGAGAATATGAAAGTTTAAACTTGATAAATATATCGGTTTTCACGTATAAAGTCATCTGATCCAAACTTTGTATAATTATTTCTTTTCTTTCACATTATATCAACCATGACTTGATGTAGTTAACGAACAGGTCTCACTTCAAGAGGGAGAACCAAAGTTAAAATCAAAACAAGCACTCATTTGAAGGACCCATGTAGCTAAGAATTTTACATCTCATAAACAAGGTTTTAAAAAAACAATTTACGACACTGATTTCAGTCTTGGCATCAAATTTGAGGTTGCAGTTAATTGTGACTATTTATCTGTAATTTCTGTTTATATTAAACACTACAAAGCTATGACTATAAATTAAAAAAAAAAAAGATTTCATAGAAACACTAATGCAAGCCTCTCAGAGATCTGTTGATTTTATTTACATACAAGACATTAAATCTAATGTTTTTAACGAAATATATATTTCATCACAAGGTATGAGATTCAGCTTGTTTCCTCATATACATAGTGATGTAAATGTTTGTTTTATGACTCAACGTATGTAAAATGGCATCATATACACCAAAAATGACTTACAACTTACCAGTATGCATTTCATTTTTTTATTGTGTTTAATGAAAAAAAAAATCTCCAGATCATTAAATTGATACCTAGACTATAAACAAAGTTGTCCCCAAAAAAATATTATGTACCAAAACAAACCAAGTTTATAATGAAAAGTTTGTTAAACTCATTTTGAAAATTAGTATAATATACGCTGAAAATGTTTTAAAAATCAATAAAAAGAGGATTATATATATATAGACTTGTGAGAACATTTTGTTTTATGCTCACCCATGATGCCAACTCACCAGTTACCTTAACGTGTGTATTCACAGTCTACCTAGGATCTATACTGCACCTATTAATTTATCCTAGACAAAATGTCAGTAAAATCATTTTCGAGGACCAACAAACCTATAATATGTAACAAATTCGACAAGACTATGGTACGGGCTAGGGGATTGTAATATGTTGGAATAGGATTTACTCAGAGTGTGGGAAGGTAAAAAGTAGTGCACACTCGAGTGAGACATTGAAATTTTGGTGGAAGCACCAATTCTGAATTGATTTGGTTGGCTTTAATTTATATATCTATATAAAAATATGTGTGTTCATGACCCTAGTGTCACAGTGATCGGTCACTTTTGTGGTTCCTCCTTTCTCATATTTGTGTCTGAGGCTGAGTTTGTCAGATCAGGCTGCTTCTTTCAAATAGCGAATCACGTACGCTTTATATGGCCATGCGGAGAGAGTGATGTAACTCTCAGTTACACTACACAAACTACACCGTAATAAACTGATGCACAATAAGTTGTGCTAAAATAGTAAAACTCAAGTATATGCCACTGCATGATGGCACTCTTTTCAAATAAAAGAAAACGAATAAATAAATGACAAAATATATACAAATCTATGAAGATTGCTAGGCCTAAAATAATCATCATAATGAAAATCTGAGAAATGAGTTTTATCAGAAAGAAAAATAGAGAATTGAGTGTCTAATCACATCAAAGTCACACTTACTACTAAATCGAAAGGGGGGATTAGAAACTGATTGAATATATTAAGGGGTAAAAACCAGAAGATACCATATACCATAAAGGGATTAAAAATCATCAAGAGGGATAGATAGATATATATACATATAAACAAAATAGACAGAGATCCATAAGAAAATTAATAAACTAAGTACGATATCTGAGGAAGAAAAGAATACATAAGATAAGAGAAATCAAAAGGGTTGAAGGTAACGTGAGGTTATGGTACATACCATGGATCGCTGGAGTACTCAAAGAGTTTTCCTTTGGTGGAGAAGACTATGAGGGCCACTTCAGCATCACAAAGCACAGAGATCTCATGAGCTTTCTTGAGCAAACCAGACCTTCTCTTGGAGAACGTTACTTGCCTATTGATCTTGTTCTCGATCCTCTTCAACTGCACCCTTCCTCTCCCCATATTCTATCTATCAAACACTGCTTTACTTCCAACACTTAGCTGCTTCTGATCCTCTCTTACTACCTATCACCACACCAACAAGACAATTCCCACAAGAATCCCAGTCATTAACAACAGATCACAAGAAGGAGAACGTAGCACCCTTCAATTTCCCTCTATGGGTATGTTTTTCTCTATGCTTCTTTCTTGGTGTTCTTCTTTCTGCATATGGAAATCTGTGACTTATAATATGCCATCAACATCTTTATTTATGTACGTGAGAGCTAGGTGGTGTGTGTGTGTGTGGAAGACGAACATTAACATATGAGCCTTGACCGCAAGTCTCTATGATTCATTCATTTTTACTTTTTTTTTTTTCAATAAAGTGACATCAAAACATAGGATAAAAATAAAAAAGAGAGAAAATCATTGGTTATTATTATTATATTCGAGGAAAAAGAAAAGGAAAAGTGAAAGTAGGAAAAAAAAACGGATGAGGAAGGTGGTTTTGGAAAACCAGAGTGGTTTCGTCAAAAACGTTGTCGAGTTTGGATTGGACAGAGGCACTATCGGGACAGGTCCGTTGCTCACTGTCGCCATGTACGATTTCTCGTTGCGTCTTTACTTCCTCGAGTGGATTAGTTTTTCTAGTATTTTCCCATGCTTTTGTCTTTTATTATAAACCATATATTTTACCCTTCATTCATCTTTCTCACATTTTTTCTCGGAAAAATAGTGTTTCCATTTCGTTTAACTTTTTAACAGAAATTGTCCAAAGTAGTTTTTGTTCCTAAACAATTAGGTTTTTGTTCCTAAACACTTTTTCAGAAGTATTAGGTTTAGACTTGTGTATTGTGTACTTTAATCAGTTGAAAATTTCGTCCAAATTATATAATATATAAATGAAAGATAAATATAATCCTATAAGTTAATTTTATTGAGTATTTTTTTTAATTTTTTTATTGCAAAACTAATTTTAATAATTAATATATATATTACAGTTAGGTTAAAAGAATTCACTTGAATAATAATATAAGAAAAATTTAATTAGAAACAAAGAAGTGCGTTGATTTTATGAATATTTTTTTATCATTTTACTTTAGTTATAACATTTTTAAAACTTTAATTGGTTTATTTAGCATCACATTTCAAATAAGTTTGACCTTCTTTATTAGCTTACAAGTTTGTGTAACCCTATTATTAATGTTTGGTAAATAAGGTTTTTTTAATAGCTTGTAGCGTTTGAGTAACTTTTTTTTTTTAATATATTAATTGTATCAATTACATCATAAATCAGTTATATGTTTATGTGATTGTTTTTATTAGACTTTATTTGTATATGTTGATCAATTGAATACTATTAATTAATTGAACCTAACTAATTGAATTATGAATTATTATAATCCCTATTGATCTATGATTATATTTAGATCTAGAAATTAATGATAACCAAGAAGATTAGAGAATTAGTCATTACTTTTAATAAACTTTACATTTTTATTATTTTTCTTTGTTGTTTTACATTGAATTTATTGTTTTTACTATTTCAATTAGAGATTAGATTCACAAAATCATAAAATCCCCTTTCTTAATTCTTTTACAATTGAAAATTTAATCTATTATAATTCATCAATATTTCTCGAAAATACAATCTATGTTTTTTTCATAGGTTCTTCGTCTTAATAATTGTTTGATTTTTGTAGGTGATAAGACGTGTTTCAATCAAAATAACATCATTTTTTTTGGAGTAATTGACATTATTTTATGTTATTGTTTCATTTGAAAAAAAAATTGTACATAATTTTCATTTCTTTTAGATTTTTCTATTTTCTATTATAAAGTGAAAAACTATAAACAATCCCCAATGATTTTGGTTTCTCTTAATTATTTGCCTTAGTGAAGTCAAAGTGAATTGCATTTCACTTAACAAAATTAAATATGCTCAACCAAAACTGTCCACTAGCGAATTTCTTTGTCAATTTTTTTTTTACCTTTCACGTTTTGTGATTGAATAATTAGATATCAGAGTGATAAATCCATCACATTTGATATTAAATTGAGAGGATTTTTCATAAATTGAAAAACAAAATAAAAAGTTAGAGTTTTCATCCTCATCATTGAAAACAATTCAAATCAATACACTGTGTGGGTGGGAAAACTTTATGAGAATTAATTGTATGAATGTTATGTATCATAATTTATGCATCTTTTTATTCTTAAAATTAGGTTAATTCATTTGTTGTCAAGATTTTCTTGTCCTTTAGGTTAAACACCTTAAGAAAACATTCAAACTTCTCAAATCATTAAAGTTAAGGGAAATATGATTTTGTTTACCATTTTTTAATTATAAGTTGTGGAGATTATATATATAATTCTACAATTTTTTCAATAAATAAGCAAAAGATAAAAAATAAGTTTCATTATCACTAATTATAGCAAAGGGAATCCCACACCTACAAATAAATTAGATTTAATAAAATTTACAACAATTTTAATTGGTGATTAAGATAAATTAATATGTTAGACTGTTAATTACTAAAAATTGAATGGTGATAATAAATAATAAGTTTATAATTTTTTTTAAGTGAATAAATATCTCCTCTTATAATTTATATATCAAATATTTATATTTAAAATAAAAATTAATTTTATTAATATATCTTCAATTTTGTTTAATTTAATAGTTTTTTTAAATTGTTTTTTACTGTTTTTTTTTTTTAAAAAAGAATAACAAAGTTGTGTTTGACACCTCAAAATGGCCCCATTGGGTATGAAGTCAAATTTTACCACTTTAAAATTAAGAAAGATACAACTTAGAGAGCATTCCCTAGACTAGACATTCTATCAAATATGTTTTTATTTCAATGTCCAACATTCTTAAGGTTCGTTATTAATCATTATGAATGCTCTTGATTTGACCAAACTTTTTTCCTCAAATAATTTAAATTGAAGTATTTAGATTCTGAAATACCTTTTATGAATAATATTTTTAAAATTTAATTTGAATAATTTTTAATTACTAAAATATTTTTCTATTGAACGATGTTATTTCATTTTAAGAATTTTATGAAAAGATAAAAGATAGGTATGATAATTTTACCTTTAATGAAAATATATTATTTTAAGCAAGAAATGTGTTTTTTCAGTGTAAAAGACATCTTGCTCTTAATTTAAGTTTCTTGGTGGATGCGAGTTGCTTGGTCCATGTCTTATTTCATGGTGAAGTAAGAACTATAAAGCTCCATAACTCTATTCACAACTAAGTTTAATACATCTTAGTTACAAGTTATTGCTCTCAACTCTTAAGGTAAAGTATTCCATGGAAAATTACTCCAATATTGAAAATAATATATCAATAAATAATAGTAATCAATCGCCTTCTAAGGGTAAAGTATGGTCTTAATAATGTAAAAGGAGAACGTAATAGAGAATAAACTCTCCACCTTATTTCTATCCTTTGCATTCCCTGTTGTCTCTCGTTCATGATAACTGTTTTGTTTACTATTCATGTTCTTTACAAAAGCTTAGAACGTTTTGGTATTTTTTGGAAAATGGTCCAATATTTGCAAACCCTAATAGCCTTTTGTTTCTCTCAAACTATCAACAAATCTTCCTCTATGCCCAACATTTCAATCGCCATGACAGCAAAGCTTGCATTTCCAGTGGAGTAGTTTCTCCTGCACGATGATCAGCTTTCAAGGGGTGAAGGGTGGGCTACGTTGAGCAGCGTCTGGTCGAATTGGCATCTACGCTTTCTTTTGGGCTTTTACAAATGAATTTGATGAGTGTTTTAGAGCCCATGTGCAGGACATATACATTGCTGATGCATGTAGCCACCATTTACTGATGCAGATAGTTATGCTCAAGAAGGAGACTTGTTAGATTAAAACCATCTTATTAACAAATAAAATTATGTTTTTTGAGGGACATATAATAGTTTTTTTTTTTTTTACTTTTATTTGATTTTATTCTTTAAACAATTTATTATTTAATCTTTGAATTGAAAAACCTGTTCATAAATGAAAAATTGATTGAGTTAAATGGATGAAGATTATCTTGCATTTTACTTGATTCCATTATATAACTATTTAATCGATTATTTTGTAGACCCTACACTTGCTAAAAGTAACAAATATGCAATTAGTTTATTATAAATAGTGTTTAATTGATTATGAGTGATATATATTTGGTTTTGAATAGTGTTAATCGATTCTTAAACGAAATAAAAAATAATATAATTATTTATTTGACTTAATCATTTAAACGAGGGCAATGTATTCCTATGTATTATATAAAACAAAGTTTGATGATGTTACAAGTTTATAGTGGATACGGAGTTTTCCCATGTATTATAGTTTTAACTTCATACAACGAAGATATTACAAATGTATTTTCTTTCTTTATCTTTTAACTAGAAGATAACTTCCTGCTATGAATAATATATAAATATGACTATTTTTAACGAAAGACTTTGTTAGCATTTCGACATGAAGAATATTTATGATTAAGCATTATTCACTACATAATTAATGTTATATTTATAGTTTCATACAGAGAAAGTTGTTCAAACACACAAGTCAAAACACACAAGTCAAATGCTTACTCTTCAGTATAAATTATAATTAGGGATGATAATTAAACTCATATCCGTGAGATCGATTCGTCTCCGTCTCGAGTTTAACGGAAAAAAAAATCGAGTTGACAGGGGACGAGGGTGAGTTCAGGTTTTTTCTGCTTTAAAAAGTCGGGAGTGGGAGTAGGGATAGGAAAACCCGAAATCTAACGGGGACGAGAATAAAGACTTAATTTCTAACTCTAACGTAAATCGGAGGTGAAGAAATGGACAATTAAAAAAGTTGAGGACGAGGATCGGGAAGACAAAACCCATCCTTGCCATGCCTAATTCTAGCAAAACTTGTAGCCTTTTCACAGTTGTGCAATTTTTTTGTCTAGCCTTTTCACAGTTGTGCAATTTTTTTGTCAAAACTACTGGCATGCTCAGATTTTATTGAGTTCTTAGT